CGTGTTCGCATTCCTTAGAACCAATTTAATTTCTATTTTAGCTTTGACTAAAGTACAATGAAGTCACTGAAATACAGCATATTTGACAAAAAACCTCACCAATAAGTAATTGCAAATCAAACCACACTGATTAGTATTTTAACTTTTAACCTTTTATGCAAAAGTCACATTTAACTCTGCCTATTATACTGAAGAATATTACTGATGAAAACATGAGAATGCTCATGTGTTAAATTAGGTGCCAGAGGCACATTTTGTTGTACAAACTTACCGAGAGTGGCAAACAGCTTAATTAAATATTTTATCTAAGTACTGCTGAGTACAAAGCACATTCCTAAGTGCATGTTAAATTGTGCACATAAAACCACTCCCCCTCACTTGCTACAACATACTCAATTTCTTCCTCGTGAAAAATAAAGAAGCATAAAAATACGAACTTACATTTTTAGTATATTTTTGCACATGCTGTTGTGTAGGAAAAGAAACGAGAATGAAAAATACGTGCAAGGAATTGCCAGGGAATATGTATCTTGACATTCATGTGAGGCCTATGTATGATAAACAGGGCACAGAGCTTTAGCTCTGACCATAATGTTTGCCCCATGAATCAAGTACATGTGAGAACGTAGCGTTTGGTATTGTAGTGGTAGTGCTTTTCTGCTGTTTTATATAAACATAGATTCTTTTGGAAGGGCAGTCTTGCTGCCATAAAGCAGACTCCCATCATTTTTCTCTTTTCTCATAGTAAATATTTTGCAGCTGAGTAGTCAAATGCCAACTGAGTTCCCAGACAAAAGAAATGTGCTGCCCTTCAATCGCCTGGCTACTGACTTCAGGCTGCTTTTCTCTGGAGGGGTGAGGTAGAAGATGAGGAGAAAGTGCGCGCAGAGAAGTACGTCAGTCTAAGCAAGCTTATAGTCATAAGGCTTAACCTTACAAACTAATACTCAAGGGAGCTACCCTGCTGACGTGAGACACTCTGCCCATTTTCCCCTGACATACTCATGTGAATAAACCTTCTGGCCTGCAATTTGCAGAACTGTTTGTGTTCTGCTGGAGTGAAAACAAAGGCTTAAAAATTTATGAACCGCACCAATTTAGAGGCCTTAAAAGTCATAATTTGAAGGAGAACATCACAGTACTTTAAACATTTTAAATAGAGTGTATGATGTCTCTTCCCTCCCCACCCCCATTGTTAAATATACAATTACCCCTGCTCTTATAGCCTTTCCATTAAATTTAATAATGGAAAAAATGAATACGAGGAAGGTAATAGAATCTCTGCTCCTATAGCCTTTCCATTAAATTTAATAACTTTGTATTTGTGGGTCTAGTAGGAAAAAATGAATACGAGGAAGGTAATAGAATCTCTTTTATTAGAAGTTTTGAGGAACAAGTTAGATAAAAATATGTCAAGGACAGTCTAAGTATACCTTTGCTACACAGAAAAAGTGGAGTGCACTACAGCTGCCTAGGGTCCGCTCCTGCCCTGCGGGCCCACAGTTTCCATGAAGAAAAAGGCCTTTGCACCGCAGCTTTCCAGAAGATAGCCTAAGATCAAGGTTCTCTTTGAGGTCAGATTTACAAAACAAGACTGGAATTTCCTTTCAGAGATATAATTATTCCCTAAAAAAATCTCTCCCAAACAAAAATTTTTAGAAAGAAATTGGAAAAGTTGCATTAGGTTTACTACGGTGAAAATATTTATAGTTGTTACAGTTGTAAGACTATTTATTAGGAATTATGAATTAGGCAGATGGAAGAACTAAAACCTAAACAAAAGAGTAATAATAAGACTGTTTACTATAGCTGTAAATCTAGTTAGTACACCTTTGCCAATATGTTCAACATTGCTCAAACATCTATAAAATTATCCACATTGGAAAGACTAAAAGAAAGAAATTAAAGGTGATGTGAAAACTAGCTTTGCTTTGCTAACAGCTAAAAGCTCATCTGCAACACTTTTTGCCTCTTTTTTATTTTAATTTTCAAATTTATTAGTTTTTAATATCTACAATAAACTAAAATTAAGGGCCTGAATATACTTATAACTTTTTCAAATACCAAAACTAGCACAGGTAACACCCAGACTACCTATCCTGTGAATATCTTTAGCACCTGTATATATACAGTAGTGAAACATACACTATGAAACAGTGCCTAATAAAAGAAGGGAGATTTAATTTATGTTTTTACCCAAAGATAAATAAATTTAAAAATGCAGTAACAGATAAACAATGGCATTCACCAATAAGAAGTCAGAGTTCTCTGTTATTGTGCTATAGGTCAAAGTCCCAACAGAAAGACAGACAGCATTAGACACATCAAGATTCAATCAGAACAGTTAACAGAACTGCTTTTCTTTGATCTTATGTGCTTTTTCCAAGGCCATTTTCTCCAGAGGAAAATATTTACAAGTTGTGCTGTTACTATAATTTTGTATTTTGATGCCAGAGAGGTGCTAGGCTCCCCCCTTAATGTGGGCTTTGGTTTTATTGATGAGATGCAATCCAGTAAAATGTTCATGGATTGACAGACTGTGTTCAGGTATAGGGCTATACTAAGAATGTAACTTTTCAATATTTCTGTTCTAAAGATGCACACAAAATGAATTGCTTATAAGCTTAATTTTGTACTGAATGCATTAGGAGAAGAAGTAACTTTTAGGAGGCATTAATAAAGTAAAAGAAAAATTATGTATTAGCATATTTCCCCAGATAATTCTGGGAAATGAAAAAATAATCTAGCTATTAGTGAAAAAGAGAGACTGCAGAAAAGATACTTTGGGCTTTGTGATTTGCTGCATTATGCGTATGAGTGGAACCCACTGGAGGTGAAGAGAATTGGGTATTGACATAAAGAATTCAGTGGTATGCAGAGACTGGAAAGGCTTGACAAAATTTCCTTGTCAGTATATATACAATGCAATGAACCAAGAGTATGTCAAAATGTCTGATATAGTAACTTGTACAGAGGAGATGGAAAATTAAGCAGTAATTGCTCTCTTGTGAGTCAGACAACATTTCCTGCTCCCTCTTTTGTGTTAATAACAGAAATACTAACTCAGGTGTTCCCCCTGACATCTAAGAATAGAACATAATAATATTGGGCAGTTTCATATGAGGTGACAAAATGCTTTTGATTCTAGTGGACAGAATTCCCTCATTTTCATTACTTTAGCAATTTTTCTTGTATCTATGATGAAATGCTTTACATTTTATGCAACAAATAAAAAGTGAAAAATAAGAAGATTACCCATGCTGAAAGAATAAGCAGATTTTTCTCAACGTCAGAGCTGTGTGTTAGAGACATCTCAGCTGACCTCAGCAGAGACAAGCATATTGCTAGCAGAAGCAAGGGAAGTCAGATGGTTTTGGCATGGCCTGTAATACAGCTGTGCACAGTGGTACATCAGTGTGTGAGGCAAAGAACAAAATTGGTTTTGCATTGTGACATCTGTCACAATTAATCTCAGTATCAATAGTGGTGAGGGAAATTATGAGACTCTTAAGTTTTCAAATTAACTCTGCTAAGTGAGGTGTGCGTTGTGAGCTCTCTGATGTGCTGTACCAAACACCCCGCACCTTGAAATCCACCCTACCCTTGTTGAGAAGTCACATCTGAATGTTAGATGCTTTCTAGCTTCCAAGCATATGATTCTGTTACAGGTTTTTACCTGCTTCATTCAAAGGAGGAGAAACACACAAAACTCTAGGATTTTGTGGTCTGACCCCTGCCTGATTGGTTTCTCAGGTTTTCCAGGCTGATTTCACATTGAGTGTTTATTGCCCCTCCCGTGCTGGCATTTGGGAGGGGCAATAAACCCCTGGGCTGGGATTTGCTGGCACAGCGGTGGGTAGAAGGAAGGGCCAACAAGGTGGCAGCGAGGGGCTGTGTCCTCCCACTTACCTGGCATTGGGAGATTACAACATTATAAGAAGAGGGCTTTAGAGAAAGCAGAACAGATTTCAGAAAAAAAACCCAGGATATAAGCGTTGGTTTTTGGCAGTGCAAGTAGAGCTAGCACAACCTGACAGTCACAGGGTGACTGCTGGCAGCTACCGAGCAGGCTGAAAAGGATGCTACTGCTATATAGTAATTTACAGTCATGTCAGCCTGAATTAGTAATTAAATTATGTGCACAATCAGATCTGAGGTAGCTGTTCCACAGGAGACAAGTAATCCCTTTATAGTGCTGATTGATAGACTCGGAGCACAGGACGGGTGGGAGAAGCAGCAGCACTGGATGGTGTGAAGGGATCAAAGTGACCTGCAAAAAGGAGAACGGGCGGCTTTCCAGCCCAGTCCCTTTTTAAAATGAAATTAAACACAGCTGATCAGGAGTTTCTCTGCAGCGAAGAGAGCACAGAATTGTTAACGTTGAGGTGAAAATAAACAAGTCTATGCCGAGCACTGAATCTTTATGCAGGTAACATTTCATTAGTGTCTCTGAGAGCTCTTCTCGAGAAGGAGGGGAGCAGACACTGGAACACCTGCTCTGCCAGCCCTTCCACGCTGGCAGGGAAGCTCCCTCCAGCCAAGGCAGAGTTAAAAGAGGGTAAATGGAATTAAGAGAGTTTCGGTTGGTTGGTTGGTTGAGTTTTTTACTCACCGGTAGCGCACGCAAGTAAAGCAAGCAGGAGGGAAATTAATTTAAGCGTTAGGAAAAACACGTCAGTCTTTCAGCAGTGCAAAGGGCGAGGACAATGACAGAAACCACGCCAATTTTCAGTGGCGAAAAGGAGCGTGCCCACAAACGCCGCCCCTGAGAAGGAGCACCGCGGCCGCTCCGTTTTAACGCCAGACTTCTTAACGTGTTGCCTCGGAAATGATTTCCCGGTTCCAGGCGGGAAAACGCGGGGAAAACGCCTTTCCCCGTCCGCCCCCCGCCCCGGCCCCGCAACACGGTGATGGGCGGGGCGCGCGGGGGCGTTGGGGCGGGGCTGGCCCCACGCGGGGCGCGCGCGCCCCCGCCCCGTGACGCCGGTTGCTATAGCGACGGGCGGGCGCGCCAACCGTCCCTGCGGCGGCAGCCCCGGTGATGGCGGCGGAGGAGGAGGAGGGCGACGTGGAGTGGGTGGTGGACACCATCGCGGGGTTCCTGCGGGGGCCCGCCTGGTCCATCCCCATCCTGGAGTTCATGGAGCAGAAATGCGAGGGTGAGCGGCGGGGCCGGGCCGGGCTCTCTTAGGCCGCGGCGGGGGCTTCCCCGCCTCAGCCCGCAGCCGGCCGGCCGTGGAGTGGGGGCGGGACGGGGATGCGGGGACACGCGAGGGGCCGGGGTGACACGGCAGGGCCCGCCACCTCTGCGGGCCTGGCCCCGCGCTCCCTCCGCGGCGGCGGCAGCGGTAGCATCCCCGTGCGGGCCTTTGGCACACGGGGCCGGCGTGGCGGCGGTCCCCGCGGAGGGCTCGGCAGGCCCCGCGCTGGCACCGCCTGGGAGGGGGTGCCTCGCCCTCGGAAAGCCGGCCTGCCCTCAGCAAGGCATTTCTCGGGATGCGGCAATTTGCACTCATTAGCTCGTACAGGGGATTATGGCATGAGCTTACAGTATGACACCCAAGCGAGATCCTCGTTCTGCTGCACGTAATGCCCGGGGGGGCTAGAAATCAGTTGAAGGCCTTTAATACTGTTCCATAGCTAGATGGTTTTGCACAGGAAGCTGGACGGTACAATTCAAATGGCAATCTGGCCAGCAGAACAGAAGAGTAGAAGGCCCAAATTCCTGCAACTTTGTGAACCTTGGCAGTTAAGAGGTCAGAAACCCTAAGTTAGTACCTCTCAAAAAACAATAGCATGAAAATGTCAATGGTTATCAGACATGCTTTATAGACAGCTCTGTGCATGAGCTTAGCTCAGAAGCAACTCTGGTTAAACTTCCTCTTTTTTTCTCAGGAAAGAACGTAGGGAATCATGCAATAATTTGGGGAATGGCCTGGGTAAACTGGAAGTACAACCAGTGATGGTGGGGGGACATGACTGGGGCAGACCTGTACCTGTATGTAAAGGTGCCTGAGGAGACCCAGATAGGTGTACGTATGTAGTAAGGGAAGAAGGAAATAGACTTTCTGCAGTAGAGGTTTGGCTAAATTAGTTCTGCTACTTACAGAACAAATTTTCTGCTGCCAAAGAATACCCGGATCCTTATGGTAGCAAAGGAATTACAATTTGGGCAAGTCTGAGAGCATTGCCTAAGTCCTTTAGAAAAAGGAAGATTTCTTTTGTGATTATTGGGGGAAAAAAAAAGTGTGTTTGAGAACATGATGGCCTGTGACCCTACCCGTGTTGCAGACGTTCACACATGAGAAGTGTTAGAGCATATTGCCATAGACTAATTTAGGATGACTTTCTGTGGCTATCATGAATGAGATCTGTTCCTTTAGTATCACCTGACAGGATGTAGGATGCAGTAATAATTTTAAGTTTAAAATCCTGAAGTAATGAGACTAACGGTTCCAAATACTTTTTATTTCTAAGGGACTTAGTAACATCAAGCTCAAAGTAGAATGGTTCTTACTATTGAAGTATTCTACCTGCTTGCATTTACTCTTCCTCCCCTCAATCCTGCTGTGGGCTCTGGGGCAGCTGCTGTAATAGTTGGCCTCATTGGGCCACGCTGTGGCTTTTGTTGTGCAATTATTCTTGTTAGGGTCCGTTAAGAATTTTTTTTTCATAGTTGGTGAAACAGATGCACCTCTGATTCAGATCCCAGCTTCTAAACAGGCTGCTTCTCAGTTATCCTGAATCATTTCTATCCTTCCCAAGCTTTGCATGAGGCAAGACCAGTGTGAGTACGTACACCTTTTCCCTGGTATACTGGGAAACGAGAAAGGTGAAGCTGCTGGGCTCTCTACAGCTAGAAAGCAATAGAGAAATCTAGGCCAGAAGTTTTCTCTCAAGAAGTCTGCCTAAACTTGAGGTCGGTCAAGCATTTTGATTATCATGCAAAGGGTCTAGGTTTAGGGATCGGGGGAATTGATTATCCTTCTCTAGAGCAATGATCTCTCTTTAGAAGGTTGAGGGGAATTTACTGGCAGTAAGAAGATTTATGGAACCTCTGTAAATTTCCATGTAGTGCGAGGCAAGCTTATATAATGGTTGCTTCCTCCTCGTTTGTTTCTACGTAGGAAATTGGAGGAACAAAGTAGAGAAATGCCTTACAGTAAATGATATTCCAAGGTATCATTTGTGCTACAGAGGGCTGTTGGACAACTTGGAAGCTATCAAGAAAAATGAAAAGACTGAAGTGTTACTGCAGTGCTAGGGTTGCTAAGAAGCACAGTTAAAGAAATCTGAAGTTTTAGTTGCTGATATCTGCGCTGTTTGCTTTTCGTTTCTCTAAATATGCTTTACTGATCGCTGGGGTTTTTTTGGTTTGGTTTTTTTCTGAGATATTTTGTCAGACAGAATTCTTTTAATTCTTAAAACACTTAGTCTTTGGACAGAACAAGCATATTAGTAACATTTAGATTAACTGTCAATAATTTGTGATTCCTCAAAAATAGAGTTTGAGTTTCGGTAATTGGTATGTAAGGGTTTTATTTTGGAACTGTAGTTATTTAGCCCAACTTTAGCACTTCAACTTATAAATGATCCTAACGGTTTTCTATCTGTTGATAACTAGTTTGCTTTCTCTCCCTTCTCCTGGGGACTTGATTAATTTCTCATGGCTTGACTAATTCCCTTTTATGTGACTGTGAAACTGAAGTTAAATCCCTGGGTATGTATTTAAGGTGAGAGGGCTTTTCAGTTTTATTCAGGTGTTCCCAGCTACTAATTAAAACATAATTTGGACATAGATAACCTTGATAATGGTTCTGAGCACCAGAAGATAGACAAGATAGACAAGGTACAAGAGAAATAAACAGATATTGCTGGCTGTGACTCCCTTCCCTCCTGGCACAGAGCTGCCTCACCAGGCAGTGGGGACTGGGGAGAGAAAGAGGAGTTCCCTCAGGTTTGCTTACTGGCATTTCACCCAAGAGGTGAAATAAGTCAGTGGCTCAGTCTAGCAGGGGGAACTCAAACTTGACGTAACTCTCATCCCACTTGAGGGGTCCTAGTGAAGATTTCAGTTTTAACAGAAAAATGATGAGTTTTTCTCTCAGGATATCTGGGTGCCCTGACTTATCTTGATAAGGGGGTTCTTCAGATCTTTGTTCCTGTCGGGCAATCAAAAAGTCTGTGCCAAAATCTTAAGGAAAATAATGACTACATTATTCAGGAGCCCTGATGCAAGAAAATCCAAGGTCTCCATTCAAAGTACTCTCTAATGCCACTTAACTCGGAGGAGATGCTGACTTCAGCTTGCTTTACTTGGCACTTAACTTCATCCCATTTTTGTTCAGAGCCTGAGAACAGAGAGCAGTTTGCACAGGCTTTCCACTCTGCTTTCCATGTTGTCCTGCAGCTGTGGGAGGAAGAGGAGAAGGACTTGGAAGCATCCCTTTCGCAGTGTGAGGCTAGCTGTTGGCATGGACATTGCCTGAGGAGTGACATCCCCGTGTCACCCCTCCTTCTGGTGCCCAGAACAGAAGGAACAGTAGGAGGTAGAAGAGAACAGATAAGACAAAGGTTGGGGTCTGCAAGAGACCATTTCAGGACAATCCGCCAGGAGATGCAGAAGACAATAGAGGCAGTTAAGTGTCTTCACCCTCTTGGGTTGGGTAATATGGTGGTTCCCATAGAAGCTGAATTTATTTAGGGTACGATTTATACTACTTTTTCTACCATTTGAATTTATTCCTAGCTATTTTTAAAGCTTTTATTTTTTTTTTTCAAATCCCTTCAAAAAAGAAATTTCCCCTGTGCAAAAATGAAACAAAAGCAAATGTTGTTTTTCCAGATTATGTCATTTAAAAGTTTCCCTTCCTTATTTTGAGGGCCTGAACTGTTTGATTAGATTTCTATCATTGCATTGCTGTAAGTTGTTAGAAAGTGGTGGAAGTACTTTCTGTTTTAGGAACAGCATCTTGCATCACACCCTGTGAAGGTTCAATGTGACACTGCCTTGGGACTGTCACAGCTGGGGAAATGATGCTTTCTAAAGTCACTCTAAGTTTCTGTCAAAGATATACTAATTCTATGTGCATCAGTACCATCTTCCATCAGAGATACCTTATACGTATGAAGAATAAATCACATTCATTCACCAATTTAAGCAGAATTCCCATTCTGCAGATGACTTCAAAGGATGCACATGGAAATTGACTTGTCCAAAATGCAGTGGCTAATTTTGAAGGAGATTGAGGAAGTCTTATTTCTAAGTCTCTGCTTTTATTGTTAGGTTTTACATTACCTCTGTTCATTGTTGACATGATAAAAATGTAAATTAAACCCCCCAGACTCTAAGTTTCTCTTATTTTCTGCTGCTTCTCTCTGTTCTGTAGTGTAGAGATCATTAGCCTGGTGTCAAGAGTTGTTAATACAAATTTGTATGAATATGATTAATATGACCTATACTATACAGATGCCTATTTTGTCTGAATCAGGCTAGATGTTATTAAAAAAATAACTTACTTGCACTAGATTTCATCTTTGGGATTATCTGTCTCTATGCAGGCAAGTTTTCCTGAATCTCTGTGGCTTCTTGCTAAGTGAATGGCATTATAAAAAAATTTGGTTTAAGTCTTTAGTAAATTCTCCATGTAAATACATAGAGAGTGAGAGAAATTTTCTGCTTTATGTTTGTCATCTGCCATCTTAGAAGAACCTTACACAAGTTCATGTGGTAGTTCTTATATTAAATCTTAGTTTTTAGTGTATATATCTGCTGAGTTCTCAACTTGTTTAGAAATCTGCTTCTATTATGAAGATATGTTTTCCCAATATTAAATTATGAAATTTAATTACATTAAATTACCAAAAGTACATGCTTAGCCTGAATGTGTGGAAAAATGCATTATTATTTATCAAGGCCTGTATTTTCATATGATTAAATATATTATGTTGTAAAGGTTAATCTTTCTCTTTAAGACATAGATGTATTTAATGTGTTAGTCCTTAAATACTAAGTCCAAAATCTGTGTGTGTTTTGGTGTTTTTTACAGTTTTTGATGATGAAGAAGAAAGCAAGTTGTCTTATACAGAAATTTATCAGGAGTACCAAGCTCTGGTGAGCATTATTGACTACTTGTGCTATATTTCAATGAAATATAATTTAAAATGTTAGAGTAGTATTTAGATGAACTTCTAATTGTGTTATTTAGAATTTTCTAATATTGCCTGTTTTCTGTCAGCAGAAAAGAATATACAATTATGAAAAAAATCATATGATTCTTAAGGATAAACCTCTTAAAAAGTAAGGTTTGTACTTACAGGTTGAAAAATTATTAGAAGACTATCTTAAAGAAGTTGGAATTAATGAAGAGAAATTTCAAGAGGCTTTTTCGTCTCCACTTGCAAAGACACACACTTCACAGGTAAATTTTCCTTTGTTTAGGAACATATAGATTTACTTTTTAGCTTTACATTTTCACTAATGTAGCAGAGTGGAGATGAAACTTTGAAAAGTTTGCTTGGTAAAACTGTAATTGTCTAAAACATCGTGTGTTTGTTTATATTACGAACTTTAACCAGAAAAAATGTGCATCTTGAAAATAATGACAGACACTTGTGTGGTGTCAGACACCTTTTGAGATTCATATTACTATTACATATTACTATGCTTTGTATTTTCTAAAACAAACCCCTAAGCTTGTTCAGCTTTACATTAGCCTTCAGTTTACAGTAGCAGACAAACATGAAGATCAAAACAATAGACATATTCCATAAAACAAAAAGTTTTCCTCTGATTTTATAATAAACCAGTCAAATCTGTAATAAAATCACTGGTCTTGAGAACACGAGGCATGACTGGGCAGCCCTTCACCTGCTCAAAGATATCTTTCAGAATTGTCTCAGGAATACTGGGCAGAGGAGCGGGAGCTTCTGCTGCCAGTTTAAATTGGGCTTTGTTGATATCTCCTCCTAGATGTGTAACAATCTTCTTCAGAGCTCACATTCCTCACTCAAACTCACGCATTTGTTCAGGAAGTCAAACCAATTGCAGTTGTAAACTTACACTGGGAAACCCTCCAGCTTTTGTGATAATATTATTGTAGGCATGTTGATCTAAAGACAGAAACCATCAAATTCTTTTCTTTACTATTAGCCCAACTTGTATGTTTGGAAAAACAGACAGGAGAATTAAACATAATTATTAAAAACATGCTCCACAGAATTTAAATCTTAATATAATTTCAAGCAGACTGAGATGGTTATGATTTCTCTAGGGTTTTTAATGTTGTGCATATCTTCCCTCCCACAGGCCATTTTGCAAACAGTGTTGGCAGCGGAAGATTTTAGACTATTTAAAAACATGATGGTACAGAAAAATATTGAAATGCAATTGCAAGCTATTAGAATCATTAAAGAAAGAAATGGTAAGAAGTGGTAAATGTGTGTTCCACTCCTCTTCATCTTTTTATTGTTCTTTTGATGGCTATGTAATCTATTCATAAATGAGTATAGCATATGGTTCAGTTCCAATTCAAGTTAATGGAAAACATTCAGTTATTTTCCTGGAAGTAGGATTTCAATACGTAGTCCTTGGTTTGTATTCTCTGTGACAGCTGTCTATGTTCCTTTTCAAATTAACAGCTTTTTCAGTTCTGTGTGTCTAAATCTTTCTGTGAAATTTCACTTAATTTTTTTGTTATTTTGGTGATAATTTTGAGTGTTAAAGCAATCATATCAATTCACCAACAATGTCAACACTGATAGTTTGAATTATGCTACTTGCATCGCAATGGTGCTGTACTATCTGCCGTGCTTACTTTGCAATTCACTCTGTAGAGTCCCTTATGAAAAAAACATATAGAAAGCAGAAGTTATAGCTTTCATTGTGCTAATACACGCATGTTTTTAAAGAAGAGAAAATTAATTTATACCCAACTTTCATATAACCACTAAATTTGACAATGGTTCAAATTAGCCATGGCTGAATTGCAGAGTATAGGAAATGCTGTATAATGGTCAGTGCAGAGTATGGCTTATGCTTTACCCTTAGATGTCAAAACTTTCATAGTTCAGAAGCCTTTGCCTTTTTGCTACTAGCAACTTGATGCCAAAGATCTAGAATCTTTTTGGAAACAGTTACAGAGAGGAAGAATTAGATGGTTTTTACTTTTTTTTTTTTTCCTTTTTTTTTTCCCCCCTCCTCTCTACCTGAAGAATGATGCCAAATGGAGTAGAAAGTAATTTTCTTTAGAGTAATGCATAACTTTTGGCATGTTTTTTTAATAGGTGTATTGCCTGACTGTTTGACAGAGGGTTCTGATGTATTCAGTGAAATTGAAGAAGAAGAAATGAAAATACTGAGGGAGGTTCTAAGGTAAAAAAAATGAATAGGCCCTACTCCCATATATTATTTTAAAATAAAAAATAAATCTATATATAGGACCAAACTCTTCTAGCCTTTTCCAGGAAACTGCCTTCATCTTAGAGATGACCTGAATATTCTTGTCAAAATCCTACCTAAGAGAAAATGAATGGTACTAGACAGTGTGTGTGATGTGCAACTTATAGATCCCCATCATTTCCGTTCTCCCCTGCATCTCCATGTAGATCTGAACTTGGATCTGGGTTAGATGTCTCTGGACACTAGGAGCACACTAGCTGTAATCCACTCAGGGAGTACTCTAAACATTACGGCTTCGGAAAGGCAAATTCTGCTTTTGCAGTAGGCTTCATTCTTTTCTACAGCTTCCTTCTTAGTTGCATCCAATGACTGTTGCTGTGATCTAAGAAGATGTGTGACACAACTTCTGTAGATTCTCCTTCACTCCCAGTTCACATATATAAGCATAATCTTAAACAAATAATAGCAGATTAATCCTTACATGTTATATGAAGTTATACTATCTTCCCTCTGTGTTCTGGAAATACTTACCTTCCTGTCTTTAAGTGAGCAAATGAAACAAGGGATAGATAAGCTCTGGAAATTCTTATACAATTACTTTTGCACAGGGAAAGACAGAGTGAGGATGGTGGGTTCTGTGCGTTTGTTTATTTCTCTTAGGAGTGCATTTTCATTTAAGTCATGGAAGTATTTTGGATACTAACAAATTCATATTGTAATTGCTTTTATAGGCCTTAAATGTTTAAGCAGTGCTAAATTTGCCTAAAAATGACTACTACTAAAGAAGTTTTGAGTATTTACTTGTATTTTGTGTTACAGAAAATCTAAGGAAGAATATGAAATAGAGCAAGAAAGAAAGAGGACTGAACAAGTGAGTATCTTACTTTTCCAGCAGAGCCGTGTTGATGATTAAGAAATACTCTGATAATCCTGTCCTGGGTGTCACTTTAAGGCAATGTGTACCATCCTAAGCAAACAAAAGGTCTGTCAGAAAGGTCTTACTGACACTTCTTTTTGAAAGGTCTATTCTGTTGTTTACATTTTTCTTGATGGTATCATTGACACTAGTGCTATATGTGATACCATTAACCACCAGTCATTTGGTGGAGCACATATGATAAGCATATTCCCTCTTCACTATCTGAATTCTAAAATCCTGGTAACGGATGTCAACCTTTCAGATCCAGAGAATATTTGAATTACTAATATTGTCAAGATCAAAGAGACTTCAAAGTATAAGCTTCTTAGAGATTACAGCATTCATAATCCTTCAGGAATTTTAAGGATCACTTCATAGACAGTATAGTTGTTCATTAAGTCTGCATAATACTGCCAGAACCTAATCACCAGGAACCAGAAATCCTCTCCAAGTTAGACCATCACTTGGTCTCCATCAGAGGAAACTATGTAGGAAGGGAACTGAATGTAAACATGGATTGGCTAAATTGCTATTCATTCAGCAGCTGAGAAACAAATTGAAATTGAAATCAACTGCAGTAGAAATTAAACCTCCCCTTCACTGGGAAAACATAAAAATTGCTGGAATTGTAGGCTGTTCCAAAAGGGAGCAGAATTGCCCTTCTATTTTTTTCTGTCATTACAAAATTTTGGAGGAAAAAAAAAAAAAGGCAGTGTTTCTTCAGCCTGAACTGACAAAGGATACAAAAAAAAAAGAAAAAGACAATGTTTCTTCAGCCTGAACTGACAAAGGATACTGCCTGGAGACCAAATGTAGCTACTACAAGAGGTCAATGCACTATTTCCAATCCTGCTCCTCAGTTCAAACCCATGATAGGTGCAGATGATAGCTATGCTACTGAGTACAAGTCCTGAACAGAGGGGATATTCTACCCAATTAAACCTTTCTGCAGTGTCTGACAAAACTCTTATTTCCCATATTACAACGATACTGCCTGGAGACCAAATGTAGCTACTACAAGAGGTCAATGCACTATTTCCAATCCTGCTCCTCAGTTCAAACCCATGATAGGTGCAGATGATAGCTCTGCTACTGCGTGCGAGTCCTGAACAGAGGGGATATTCTACCCAATTAAACCTTTCTGCAGTGTCTGACAAAACTCTTATTTCCCATATTACAATGACAGACTCCAGGAAACGTGTCATCTGTTCTACTGGGTTGCTTACAAAACAACTGGGAAACTCAAGCTTTGGCTCATCTAAGAATTCAAGTTGTATTAAGATGCAGGTTTATCCAAATTTTATAGGCCAGTCAAGAGTATCAACATTGTTGATTAAAAAAAGCCAGATTACAGAGGCCTCAGTCAAGTTCATGTAGACAGAGAAGGTGATAGTTACTGTTCAATAATATGCTTTTGTTAGAGAATGTTTTAATACAAAATAATTTAATATTTGGATGAATGCTGGGGGGATTCTGACATGAATTAGATGGTTGATGATCAGTGTAGACATTTTCTGGGCAAATCCCAGCTGGCTTTACTGTTTTGAGAGGTGGGTTGCATTGTCAAGATTTCCCATACAAGTGTGGAAGTGAAACAATAGTGTCAGAGATGATCCAAACCTGTTGTTTCCATTCAGCTGATTATTCCCCCATTTCTGTGGTAACTATATATTTAACTATAGTCACTATACATCCCTGGTTCTCTTATTGTATTTTTCTGGTGGGCAGAGGTCTGCTTAAAAGTCACAGGTGAAGCGTGGCAAAAAACACCCCCCTACATTATCTATTTGTAGCTGGGAAACTAAATACCAATTTACCTAATACTCTATATTCTGATTGTTGATTAGGGAACAGGTTTTGAACTAAAAAAAGAAACTGTCTTATGACTATAAGCCAGAAAGAACCTTCCTATTAAGTTTGCTTTTGTGGACTTTGGCCATGCAGTATGTAGTGTAAGCAACACAATTTTAATTGAAAGTTCTTTTGGGAGATTTCTTTGTATTGAGAGTTTAATGCCTGAAGTACAGTGCCAGGAAATGTAACGCTTAGTTTTGTTTGTTTGCTTCTTAATTTAAGGCACGTGATAAACTTACATCAGCGGATGTTACCAGTCTTCCAGGAGATTCAAAAGGAGCTGTGAAAGTTAAGGAATCCACTGAGGAAGCTGACGATTCTGAAAAAGCTCCAAAATCTCCATTAGGTAATTTTGTGGGAAAGTGCAATGCTGAGTGTACAATATGGTACTACTTTCAAATTATTGAAGAGTCCGCTCATATTTGCACGAGGTGGCTGCAGAAGTGCCTTCCAACCTGAGTTGTTTTATTATTCAGTGATGTTATGAGTCATCTCCAGCAGGAGGAGAAATACAGGAGTCTAACAGTTTTCATCTTTTAATGTACTGTGCATATGCTGCCATTATTGTTAAGAACAATATGTTCCCTGTAAGTAACTATGAATCATTGATTTAAATTATGATTTCTCTTCCTGTGTGTGGCCATTATAGATTTAATTTATAACTATACAACATTTCTTGATAGCAGTCAAATATTTCTGAAGGAACTGTTAAGATTCATTCAAGCTGAATTGTTAGGCCCCCAAACTGAATCTTTTTTGCCTTTGGTTCAGATTTTTTTACTCATTTTAAGCTTTTCAATTTTATATTTTTGTTTTTGAGTGGGATTGTGACACTTAACCAACTTAAAATACCAAGGAGAGCTGGTTTAAGTAGTCTTGAAGTTTACCCAAGTTATGTAGTGAAAATTGTCTGAACCGTTTTGTAGATGATTATTTACTGGAGAGCATGACCATACAAGTGCTTTTACAGGGAGGAGGAAAAGAAAGGAATTACTGGTTGTGATGGAGGCACTCTTGGTATTTTTGTGTTGCAGCTAAAGCACAAGGGTGCTGACTTGTTCAGGAAAGCAGGAAAATTCTTAGGTGAAAAGAAGCATATATATTTGCGTATGTAGATGTGTGTACACACACACACACACACAGAGGCAGGCATGTATATATACACACATAACTATGTGTATAGGTACACATAGGTGATCTTCAAAACCAGATTACATCTCAGTGGGATTTGCTCTCTTACGAATTTGTGAAAAATTTGTAATTTAATATTCTAAGGTTGCTTCCAAGAATATAATTAGAACTTTGGGAAACAATAGTCTGCGCTGTCTTTAGTTACTTCTTGCCTGTGTCTTGTGCTTGTCTTTGTATGCATTCACACTGCAAGTGTTCATATCACAGACACTTGAGCTGGATACTTTTAGCCTTGGAAGTACCTTTGGGGCTTACTTGCTCCTTGCTGTTTCATTTGATGGCCATTAACAGATGAGGTGGTTGTAGGACCCTCTATTCTTTTAAACTGAGTGTCTTTCACATTAGGAAACGTAAAGAATAAATTGTGTCACTGACTTTTAAAGTTCCCGCCCTTTTATCCTTCTGTCCTTCTGCTGAGGTTTTGTTACATTTATTTGAACTGGTCTTCTCTCCTCTTCTACCATCGGAAGGATGCAGAGGGCCTGCAGCTGTACTTGCATTCTTCACCCAGCCTGCTTTTACTCCTCTTAATTTTGCATAGTTGTGCCACCTTGTAGTGGTGCCACTAAGCCATGTCTGTGCTGTTGTCTTCCTGATCCAGGAGGAAGGCACATTCCTGGCAGATATTCCATCTGCAGAACTTAATCCTGTGCTTGAGAGACAAGGAGATCTTTGAGCTCAGGAGCTGAGACTTCTTCTGTGCTCTCCAAACACCTGCTTAGCTGGTGCTGAGCATTCCCATGCTCTTGAAATGCCAACGGAGAGACAGGCCTACAAAAGGTTTCAGCTGCTTGGAAACCATCTTCATCCTTGTAGAACTGGCATCGTGTAGCAGCATAGCTGTCCAAAGAGGCTACTAAGAAAGTTTGTCACAGCTTATCCTCCAGTATCACCTTTTGGAAAAGCGGTTTTGGGTAGTGGTGGCAAAAATCAAGAAGAATCTGTACTGGCAATCTTCTTCCAGACCTGTTTCTCACACAGACTGTTCCGTTATTGCCTGCTTCCAACACATGGGCTCCCAGCTCCAGCTTTGTCTCGGGTAACGGGATCATCATCTCTGCTTGACTTGCTTCTTCTTGCTATCAGATACAACTCTGGGAATGGAAACAAGAAGAACCTTTCACTAAGTTTGTGCCTTTCTGGGGTGGCAGACAAGCTGCGCTCCTCTCATCTGCTCCGTCCCAGACCCTCACAGCCCACCAGACCTGTGATTGCATCCTGTCTCCATCTTCTCACCTGTAGGGCCACGTTACCAAGGAACAGGACAGCTTGTCTTTCTCTACCTGAGCAGGGGAAGGAATCCTGTACCTGGGGAGTATTGGCTGCCTTGGCAGCCCTTGCATGAACCAGTTCTCCTAGTGAGGAAAAGGAAGAACTTTTGTTCCTTTTTCATTACCTCCAGTCTGCCATACATTTCCTTCAGATGCACAGTGTTTTTATCATCTTTTGCTGTTTCCCCTTCACCTTGAGACCCAAGATTGCAGTTTGTGGGCACCTTAAAGGTTTCCACTGTATATTGAATTGAAATTTTAATGGTAGTTGCCTTAATTTTCTTAATTTCATTTTGGTGAGCTCCTTACAAGTAGTTTACAGATTAGAGCTTGCAAAACCATTCCTCCTGTACTTTGACCACCCAACTTGTTGCACTACAGAGAGATCGGAAGGGTGAATTTCATGGTGAAGGTCATGTTCAACACCTCGGAGTGCAAGTGACCTTTCCAGTGTTGTTGGACAACACTTCCCATTCTGGGTACCTGCAGGGCAGCTGCTTCAAAAGCTGCACTCGTGTTGGCACTGAGCTGCCTGTGTCGCACAGATAAGAAGGATGCAGCATCTCCTGGGTGCTTGTATTTTGAGAAGATTCTGAATTGTCCAGGTGGATTAGAGTCACCCATAGTGTGAATGTACATCCAGACAAGTTCTCAAAGGAAAAAAATGTTACGTACCAGTAACTGTAACTCTTTGAGATGCGCTGTCTGTTTGTACATCCACTGCCCACCCTCCTTCCCTTCCCAGTGTCTTTTCAGGTCCGTGGGTTAAGTGACACTGAGGGTCCTATGATCACATCCTACAGGTACTGCCCAGACACAAACACCTCCAGCTCCAGTGTTTGCGATACGGACAGCAGCAGTGTAGATTTACATACAAACAACACAGTTCAAAGAACTGCTTTCTGGTAAGTAGCTTTCCTTAATCATAATGTTGGTTATGGTATAGGAAGTTGACATGCAGCGTGTGGATTTTTTGGGGGGTTTTTTTCCCCTCTGCTTTTTAATCTACAGTGTGAGGATTTTTTCTAGCAGTTTTAACTCTGACCTCTCACAGTGTCTCTAAGAACTTGTATCCATTACAAAAAGACATTATTTGGAGCATCAAGACTTCCAGCAGACGTATTTCAGTGAAGTGCAAATTCTTCAACTTGAGCTTTACATTTCTGTCCTGGTTTGTTTTCTGTACTTTGAATAACGACTCGGATATTATGGATAGGCTCAAACTGACTGAACACAGGAAAACTTGCATTTCACTACCTGTACTCTTGCCTATATTTTCAGGCGTATTTTAAAGCAGTCAAAAACCTCTTAATTTTTAATAGAAGTACAGTAGAAGCAGCAACTTACCTCACTCAGGAGTCATAGGTCAAATCAAGAGAAGTCATAGTAAAGTTGTGAAAACCTACGGTGCTCTGCAGTCCGGTGACTGGAGGGGCTTTGATTCAGAGGTCTGTAGCTGTGATGCCATCTCAGACGCCGTGCAGTTCAGTGGGATGCAAGGCCCTTGGTATCTGCAGAGATATGAAAGGCTGGAATTAGGACAGGGTTACTTTTCTTTGTCAGCAGAGGCTGTGTTTGTCCAAGAAAAAAGGAAGAGGCGACCAGGGTATCGTGCAGGACTGCTCTCTCGCACAAGGTGAGGGACTTGATAGGGAGTGGAGGACACCAGAGGTTGCCCAAGCCTTGTTTGTGCCGTGGGTGCCCAGAGCTCCCCTGGCAGCCACCAGCCACCCCCTCTGGGGCTCTGAACCCACCCAGGGTGGGGAAACAGGGAGGGTGCCCACTGTACCCTCGGGCTGGGGCAGGGTTAGCTCTGAAGAGGAGTAACCCAGCTGTGTGGCTGCAATGCTTTGCACCTCTCGAGCTGTCCTTCACCCCGCTCCCCTACAACTTCACTCAGATAGGTTCTTTTCTGATTCCTTTCTCTGAAGCTGAAAGCTGAACCAGTACTCTTGTACTGGTTGGCTAACGTGAACCAGTACACTTGTTCTTAGAGTTGGTTAAAGTGAACTTTCTAAGCTGCTGACTGCTGGGCTTGCCGAGACAGAAACTGAAGTACAATCTCAACTTGAACCCACTATCAGAACACTGAAAATGTAATTATATTGCAAGCATTTGACTAATTTATAATTCATTGCAGTAGGGCTACTTACGATGTAAAGCACTATTTAATTGCTTTCATAGTGCAAATACAGTATCTGTGAGTTTGGAAAGAAAGTGTTATTAATAAAAAGTGGAGAAATGTGGGGGTTTTTTAAGTTTCCTGTTTCATCAGAAGAGACATCTGGATATTGGAAAGAACACCAATTTATTTTTTATTTGATATATTTCTATTCTTTCTAATTTTTTTTCTGTGTAAAATTGCTGTTTAGAGGAATCTCAGAAATCTGCAAAGGAAGACTTAAAACCAGTACGCCCATTACAAAAAGGACCTCAGCCCTCTTGTACCAAAGGGAAAGAAGACATGAAGAAAAAGTCAGCTGGAAAATGTTCAGAAAACGCGGCACAAAAAGCTGGGGTGAAAGGACCTGTAAGTTTAAAACAAACAAACAAGAAAAATACCCAAACATAGAACTAGAATGCAAAAAGACAGGATTACAACACTAGAAATATATATTTAAATGTAATACTGTCTTAAATGTGTATCAGGTGGATTTGGTTTGGGTTGTTTTGGGTTTTTACGGTGCTTGTTGTTTTTTCAACCCAGCATGCAAAAACTTACGGTATTTACCAGTTTAATTTGCATAAAGTGCAGATCATCATTCTAGATTTAGAATAGAACTCAGCATTCAGCCTTTGTTCCACCATAATTTCTTCATGGACAGCTCTGGCTTGAAACTTCAGCTCGGATTTTTTTCAGCTAGTAATTTTGGAGGCAAATACGATGTAAATGCTTTTATCTCACAAATACATAACATGTATACCAAAAATTAATTTTAAAATGTATTCTAAAAAAAAAAAACCCAATAATTTCAGGATTTATCAGAACTTGAAGAACAGCAGCTGAAGCAACGAGAGGACTACCTAAAGAAAAAACGAGATTTGCTGATGGCTACAAAGAAGGAGTCAAGAAATAACGTGCTGTTACCAGCAAACACTGACCAGAAGGAAGAGGAATCGCCTCCCAAAGAGGTGAGGGATTCAAATGTTTTAATCATCCTGACCGCTTTATAAAAAAAACATAGATGATTTCAGTGAAGATGTAAATATTGTTGCTGAATAATGCAGCAGGATAAAAAAAAAAGGGGGGGGGGGGGGGGGTGAACGGAGCGCATTTGCACAGCGGAGGAATTATTTTCAAGTTACAATTTTTGGAGACTTATAGGCTAAAAAGTTTGAGTGATGAAGTTAGCATTATTTTGGTTTAGTACCACCAAGTCCTTATTATTAATTTATGTGTATGAATGGCTAAAATGCTGGTTTTCTCCTAATCTGTGAGCTACTGCCTTAAATCCCCGGGTTTTGGGGTCTTTTTTTCCAGCTGAAATGGGAAAAGCATTTTTCTTCTGCAAAGTCTTATTTTACAGAGGTAACGGATTTTCTCTGTTTCGTCTCTTTTGGGAGTTTTGTACCTATTTCAAATGGAGAAATGCTTGATTTCTATCCCTCAGCTGCAGAGCTAGAAGGGAGGTGGAGAGGATGCAGGGCAGGAAGCCAAGGTTCTCTGAGGGGTGGGCAACTGTTGTTGGGAGGATTGGGGGCTGGGGACAGGAGGAGGGGGTGCTGCAGGCAGAGGTACAATTAAAACAAGTGCTAAATCACAAAAATCCTTGCACCTTGGGGATGATAGAAAAATCTAGTTTGGGGGGAAAAAGGTAGTAGTTTCTTTCCCTGTTGGGAAAGAGAGTACAGCCATAAAAAAAAACTCTGAATCCTATGACAGGATAAAGGTTTGCCAAAACAGAGGTCTTCATCAGACAAAAAAAAATCATTAATCATTGTGGCTAATGTGACTTACTGCATTTGCCACAAATAGGTCTAATCCACATTTATACAAGAAGAAATACTTGAAAATTCGCAGTGTAAATGAGGAAACTTGTAGAAGACCTTAAAGGCTCCCACAAAACAATGTGATAACAGTTATATTTAAAAAAAAACACCTTGAAAATCACTACTCTTCTTTACAGAGCATCTGCTTAAGCCCAGAGATCTTGTATTGCCTCAGGTATTTTTCAGAGTTGTTGAGCATTTTATTATGCTCAGAACATGCCTAAAATATTGCTGATTGGGGAACTCCCAAAACAGCTAAGCGTAGTCCTTTCAAAAAGATTGATACCATGCAGTGGCAAAAAAAGGCAGATTGATGTAAAGAGTCAGTCGTCCACATCCTGGGATCCACTTCTCAAGAAATGGAATAAGAATTAGGTTGGGTTTGTTTTTTTTTTTTTTTTTTTTGTAGTCCTTTCAAAAAGATTGATACCGTGCAGTGGCGAAAGAAGGCGAGTCGGTCGTCCACATCCTGGGATCCACTTCTTAAGAAATGGAATAAGAATTACGTTTGTTTTTTTTTTTTTTTAATTTAAGTTTTTCTGGAGAGCACAAGAGTTTGAAGCCCTGGGTTTGCAAGTGGCAGAGCAAGCATGTCCCCGGAGCTGGGCTGGCTCACCTGGGGCAGCTGCTGGTGCCAGAAGTCAGAGCACTGACCAGGGAAGCCATGTGCTTTGCTGCAGTGGTTTTTCATTATTTTGTGTGTTTTTTTTTTTTTTTTTCCTTAGGAAATGTCAGAAGAGAAGCAAAGACTACTACAGAAGAGGAAAATGCTTGCAGAAAAACTCAAAGAAGAAGTTATTAATAAGCGGTAATTTTAAGTAGCTCATTGCAGAACCCAAGAACACAAGGATGTTTTTAGAATAAATTATGTAACTAATAATTGAATGGATTTGTTTTCCAGTATTACACTGAGTTTTATAGGACTTTCAGATCAGCAACTTGGTACTTATGTATAAATATTTAAAATTACACTATGAAATATACTAAAAACACTTATTTTCCAGAATGCTGGAAACTCAGTGACTTTCACTGGCGCGTGCTCAAGGGTGAGGCCATTGAATGGCAACTGCAGCGCCCAGAGTGTGTGACGCACCGGCCTCAGCCTCTTGCTATTGTATAGAACAAAAGCAGATACTGAGAGCTGTCAGAGTAACTGATGTGAACAGTTGAGAGAGTTAGAAATTTTAACTTTTTTATTTTTAAATTTATAGAACTTTGTTCCTTTTATTAGAACATTATAAGCAAATTACTATTTTTCAGCTGTGCAATGTAATAAAGTCTAATTTCACAAGGAAATGCAACTATGATCATATTATTTTTCAGAAAGATAATGCAGCTCAGAGTCCAGACATTTACATACTCCTTCTGGATTACATTGTTTTACATACCTTTAGGGCGATTTATGAGTCCTCAGCTCCAGTACTGCTATAAATGCAACTTTAAGTAAAAAATAATTGCCTTAGTTACGAAGTAAAAGCTCGGGATGTCAGGAGCAATGCTGTTTCAAAGTAGAAATACATTAAAATGTTGTTTCCTGGTTTGGCTGTGAGAGCCAAAGGGAAGAGGGGCAGAGTTTGCTCCCTGCCATTACACAGCTCCCTGCAACAGTAACTCCCGTTCAAAGAAACAACCCAACCAATTCCAGTTTCATGTAACTTTTTATTAAAATAGCATTTATAACTGATACATGTTGGCAGATGTTCTTTTCCAAAAAAAAGAGTGGTAGTGGAAGGACCCCAGACAGGGGAACAGGCAGAACCCACCAGGTCAGACTGGGCAACGGCCCCAGACAAAAGCCAGTTTAAAAGAATACCGTGTGTCACCTTCTACAGGGATAGTATTTTTTAATTTGTTTTTAAACGGGACATCTAATGCCACTTTACACAGTCTTTTTCTAGTAACTATAAAAATTCATGACATTCTTGTTTTTGCTGTAAAAAAAAAAAAAAAAACCAAACCCCTCACGTTGGTCTGAACGTATATTTTTTTTTTTAAAGCTCCTGACAGTACTTGAGGGAAGAGCTGGGGCGGTGGGGAACAGTCAGGACTAACGCGCTTCGGTCGGAGACTCTCAGAGACCTTCTTTGGGGTGGCTGTTACAGAGACTCAGGACAGCTCAGGTCCACGGAGCGGGTGATGCCATTTTTCACCCCTCACGTTGGTCTGAACGTATGTTTTTTTTTAAAGCTCCTGACAGTACTTGAGGGAAGAGCTGGGGCGGTGGGGAACAGTCAGGACTAACGCGCGTCGGTCGGAGACTCTCAGAGACCTTCTTTGGGGTGGCTGTTACAGAGACTCAGGACAGCTCAGGTCCACGGAGCGGGTGATGCCATTTTTCAGCCTCAGGTTAGTAAAGGCACATACTGTGTGTAGTGCTGGAGGAAGCCCATCCTCGCTACCGGGGGAGAGAAAAGACTCCTCAGGCAGGAAACCAGGTTATGGACAGCAGGAGAGCAAGCAGCTGTGCTTGACCAGCAAAGGCTTCCTCACATCCCGTGGTGGGAGCTGACGGGGCGTTCGGTGGCACAGGTGGGAGATGAGGAGTCCCCTTCTGGGTGGCCTGGAGCCCCCAGGGGCCATGGCACTGTCCCCAGGTCCAGGGGCAGGAGCTGCCGTCCGTCGGTAAGAACTCACACCTCTCCCCTCTGGGATTTCATCTAGTGGTATAGAGTTAACTTTGAAAACTGCACGGGTAACTAATCTAAAAAAATACTCTAAAACGGCCACATTTAAAATTTCTGAGTTAACTTACCATGTACAACAAACCAAACAAAAGCAATAGTTATGGAATTACAGGGTCACATTTTAATTCCTGAATTTTACAGTTCAGCATTAATATCACCACATGTATACAAATGGTGTAAAACAAGTACAGTGGTATTTTTAATACAAAATAAACTTCTGTTTTATGGAAAAAAACTATACTTCATATCTACACAGACAGCCCATCTTTTTCCAAACAATAGCTAAAATTAAAATTAACTACAAAAATCTCCAAAACAGAGAAACTGCTTCAGTTTAAACTATTCCAGGAGAAATGGACCCATAACACATATTACAAGAGTGATCTCTCTGGTGGATTGCAGCTGGTTTCGTATTTTAACATTTCTGACACGTTAATTGTCGTTGGGAAATTTCCTCTCACGTCGTCATGATCTCAGATCACATACGGGCAAACTAACATTAAAATATTTACAGTTCACTTGCTGCTCTTGCGAATAAAACCTGGACTGTTTGCCTCTACCAACTCGCCTACTTTAGTCGCCGTTTGCTCAACCTACCACGTGGAATGTGCTTTTCTTGTTTTTAGAAAAAGCAGCTTTTGCATTAACACCCAGCCTCAGGTGCCGCTTGTTGATTCGGCCTCGCAGAGCGGGGTCTCTGGGTGATGGTTCCAGCTTGGTCCAAAGTGACTTTGGTGTTAAAAGGCTGCTCAATCCATCGCTACGAAAAACCCCTTAGTGTTTCTGGTCACCACCTCAGTTGAATTGAAACTGGAGAAGAGGAGAAGGGCTGGCTGCCCCCAGAGGAGACAGCCCCTTCCACCACACAGCCAGCCCCTCCAGCTCCTGGGGTGGGCCGGGGGCAGCACCGCTTTGACACAAGCAGCTCCTGGAGATATTTTGGAAGCGATCAATTCCTTGGCATAAATATTACTGGATGTCTAATCGAAAAAACAAGGAAAACCATCCGTTTTGAATCCAGCTTCCGTTTTCTCCTCTTGAAAAATACAAATTAAAACTTTATTTGTAACTGTTTTAAACAATTCAACATGCACTAGAACGGCAGTGTCCCTCCCTCCAACCATGAGAAATGCGATTTAATTGGTAATAAATGGTCCCAAAATCTGGATTGTTCTTATGCAAACAGAGTTAGTTTTCCCTTAAAATTTTTTTAAAAGAGGCATTACTAAAAGAACACAACTGACAGCACCATTACAAAATTAAGATTACTGGGTTCAAAATTTAAGCTTGAATTTTTTTTTCCTAGTTCTGTTAAACACTGGGGAAACCCTGCAATATTTTAAAAAAAGTTTTACCGTATCTTTCCCTCCCCCTGCCCTCCCAACACCTGAGACTTTCCTTGCTGAGAAGCCTTCATCCAGGTTCTGTGAATACTAACCCACTTTTTTTTTTTTTTACTTTTTCATTTTTTTGACAGCCTGAATGGCAGACTCCTTACTTACTAGAAAGATATTAAGTTCCTGGGAAGCTTTGTGTTTACAGAACTAACCCTTTCTAGCTGATACACTGAGTTTCTTTTGCTACTCCTTGTATTATCTTATATACTCATGGGAGAAAGCTTTCTGAATCAGATTCTTTTTAGCTCTTAAAACAGTTGCAGCATTTGAAACCCCATAATAAAAGTTCTTATTCCAAAGTTTTGGTTTCATTTATGAACCCAGACGAGGTCTTTTCCTTGGAGATGTCTCCTCCTCTTCATCATCATCTTCATCATCAGGATAATCCACTAGGCCAACTAGACTTCCCTGCCAATTAAAAAAGGAGAAGAAAAAAAAAAAAAAAAGAAAAGCTCACATTTAAAAAAATACCCAGAAATGTGCAACTTTACCACACAACCCCCAGCCAACCTGCCCGGGACACACGAGGCTGCAGAAAGGTTTTGGTGATGCCTTTTTTGTTCAAAGACCTATTTGTCTTAAGAATATTTTTGAACCTCAAAGTTATAAAAGTACTGGAACTTCCTTGCGTCTCGGGATCTGGTCTCAGAATTACTTTAAAATCCCTTTTCAAGCTCCCACCTGGACAGTCAGAGAATCTAACGCGTGTAACTGCACGTCCATTTTGCTGCTAAGTCTTAGGTGTGTGCAATACAATTTTTGCCACAATTTCCTGTAGCCTCTCAGGAACTTGCTCGACTGGGCAAGACATAACGAAGTATCACTAACTCTATTTCGTCTGCTTAAAAACACTTTGTGGGCCCCCTGTTGGGGGATTAGTAACATAATTGAGAAAAAAAAAAAAAACAATCACACACACAGCAGCAACTGGACAGTTAAAAAAGCTGAGGAGTGGGAAGAGTTAAATTATGCAGAAGATGCAAGATCAAAGGGTGCCCACCAGGTTCCCAACAGACTCCTGTCCCACCTAATACTTCCTTAAACCTTCTCCTAAACTAGTAAGGGCTTAGCTGGACAGGGCTTTGGATGAGTTTATATGTAAATAAGATGCCCTGCCCAGAGGCTAACGCTGACTGCCACGCTGACCATGCCACCTTACAACCAGCAAAGTCTCCTGACAGTGCTCCGCTGTCCTCAGTGAGGAACAGCAGCTTTTGTACCAGTTGTCCCACCTTGGAGGCCGTCACCGCTGTGCTCAGGGTTGTGTTCTTTGAGGAGGAGCCGTTGGAGGTTGCTGGTGACGTCTGAGCTGCCACGGATTTACTGTTTGCACCGTTTGCACCATTGGCTGCGCTGGCTGAGTGGGAAAAAGTGAATTTGAATCCCCCAGCTGAAGTCCTTTTTGGAAGATTCTCTTTGTCCTCGCTCTCCTTAGCTGAGGGACAAACATTTTCATACTTAAGTATCGGCTGTACACCATGGAGTACAATCCACATCACAGCATCATCACAGGGCAAAACCTGCCCTACTGGTTTTTTTTAAATTCAGTATAAATTCCCAGCTCACCTCCTGACCTCACCCAGCATGCAAATGGAGAAGGCAGGGGTGCTGGGGACACGGGGACACTGCTCTCTCAGCACACACTAGTACACGTAAAATTTTGCTATTGCATCTCATTTAATCTAGATGCATGCTTGGAGCAATTTAACTTATTATTTTAATCCTAAACTGTCTTGCAAAGACATGTAAGGAATTAATTAGTTAATTACACAGAATACCCTGACTCCTGATGATGATACAGAGCACAAGCAACTGGTTTGTTTACATGATACTCCAGGTATCTGCCACAGAGCACTTCCAGTGCTGACAAGCTGAAATGGAGTAAATACCTTTTTTAGTTTCCATAAATTTTTCATAGCTATCTGGAAAATCATCCTCCTGTTTTGACTTCTCGACTGGAGGTACAACAGCTTCACCTTCTTCTTCTTCGTCTTCGTTGAACCACATTTCTTCATCCTCCTCTAAGGCTCTTGCATCTCTGCGAAATCTATTGCTACGCAATATAGATGGAACACTGTAAGAGACACACGACAAGGGGTTCAAATTGTGCCCTCTGGTTCAGACCCAGCCAGGATCAGCAACGGCTTCTGAGGCTGGAGTGTGAATTCCCTGAGTTTGGGAAGGCAGCCCAGCTCCCTCTCCCATTCTGCCGTCAACATGAGC